CTCAGTTTTCAGCTGAACCTCTTCCAGTAGTCCGAGAGGGATGAGGGTAGCGATGACCTAGAACGTGCCCTTAGCCATGGGAAAGGAGTATTTTACCTGGAATTAGCTCTTCCTCCTTCACATGCCATGTGCAGGGCAGGCCACGCACCTCCTGCTGCCGGTGCAAGTCCAGGGGTGCAGGCAGTCGCATTCCGGGCGCTTCATGAGTCCCAGACACGGACAGGGACTTCATGCACGACCCTGGGCCCTTCTGCTGCCCTCACATCGCCGACTCCAGCACGTGCACTGAGCGACCAGACCCCTCGTTTCACCTGCTCTAGTTCTGAGGTACGGTCAGAAACCGACTACTAAAAGACACATTGAATACTGTACTTTTTCCAATCTGCACACCATGTGATACAATGTTCCACAAGACTACTGAGACAAAACTCACCTTTGCAGTGATCATATCAGATTTTTTTTTCTTTTTTTTGGAAAAACAAAGTTTACTTGCAACACACCTGCATTTGTGTGTGTTCAGTACCTCAGTATCTTCCAAAGTAAAAGACAAAAGATAGAAAAATCGGAAAGGCTAAAAAGAATTGCAGATTGCAGGATGTGAAATGACCCAGCTACAATTATCAGCTGATCTCACTTACCCCGCATTCAGCAGCAGCAGACCATTAAAGCCCTTAATGTGCCTATGCCTACACTGCTCACTAGGCCGGTAAAACAGTTTAGTGCTGCTCTAGCAGACGAGGGATCAAAATCCAAGGAAAGCGGCCAGCAGCTCCCAGGAAACACACGGATAAGCAGCGGCAGAGCCCGCAGGGAAGGAGCCGCCCGAGGCCTGCGCTGGCCTCTCTCGGGAAGCTGTTGCAACCCTGGGGCTGTTTTAACTCGGTGCTGAAGTAAGACAGGCCGCTGAGCCAGCCGCTACCTAGAGCTGTGCTCCCGTGCAGCACATAGGCAGGCAACCTAAGCATAAAAATGTTACTGAAGTATTTCAGTACCTTTCAAGGATACCTAACAAGGATCCTAGATTGGATCTTTTTCAAAATTTCTCCACAGAACTAACAATAAACTTTGAAAAGAATCATAGAATCATAGAATGCTTAGGGTTGGAAGGGACCTCTCGAGGTCATCTAGTCCAACCCCCCTGCATACGCAGGGTCACCCAGAGCGCGTGGCACAGGACTGCATCCAAGCGGGTTTTGAAGATCTCCAGAGAAGGAGACTCCACAACCTC